TTTAGTTATTGAGATAGCCCGTGAAAACGCCCAATTTTGCCCACCCTGTACACTTCACTTAAGGGTTCATGAAACGAATTTCACTGCAAACCTTTTCTCTTGATGAATTGTTGGCAAGAGTTGTTGTAAATTTAGTTGAATTCACATAATATACACATATGCGGTGCTATCCATCACCGATGTGACTGTGTGAGCATTATAGGCACTATTATTGTGAATTATCATCAAATATATGCCAAACAAGGATGCTATGAACCAATATATATCAAACGTGAGTACATGGTGCAAATCGGCTCCTCAGTTTAAGTGTTTTAAGAGGGCAAATTTACATAATCTTGCCTTCAAACTTATATCAAAATCTTCCTAAGAAAACGGCCTGTACAGTAATATGAAAAGGTCATCCGTGTGAAATTATACAACTGCTTCAGATTGAAAAACAGTGTCCGGCATATAAAATGTCGTGTGGTGCGTGTTCTAAAGAAGTGACTAGAAAAAGCCTGATTTCTTGTAGTGGTTTTTGCAAGAATAAGTTCCATTCCGAATGTGTGGGAATATCTGTAGATTTACTTGCTCAGATGAAAAAGACACCTGGCGTTTTTTGGAAATGCAAAAACTGTGAGAAGTTCAATGATCTCTTCGATGAAGGAAGACTCCGTGATATTTTTCAAAACAAGGTGAGTCAATTTATTGACGAACTGAAGAACCTCTTTTATGATATAAAGACAGACATCTTGAAAAAAGCAGATGAAAATCTTTCAACTCTAGATATAGATATTAGGAAAAAAGCCGATGAAAATATCTCGAATCTGAAAAATACATCAAAACCCTCGTCAAAACCAAATATGAAATCATCGTACTCATCTGTACTCAGCAATAGCTCTCACTCTGCAATACTTGTCAAACCCAAAGTATCGCAAGAAAACAATCAAACAAAATCTGATATCATGCATAATTTGAATACGCAGGACTTAAACTTCAGCTTTAGCAAGGTGAAACATATTAAAGATGGTGGACTAATGATAAGCTGTAAAACTCAAGAGGAAACTACTCTCTTTAAAGAAAAGGCTCAGGAGAAACTGTCTGCAACTTATGAAATTAAGGAGTCAAGAGGATTACACCCCCGTGTTCGTATTGTTGGAATTTCAGATAATTTTGATCATGATACACTTTTAAAACTCATATTGAAACAAAATGACGAAATTATAGGCTCTAATTCGAACTGTAAGATAGTCAAATTCGGTCCAACAAAATCTAATGTAAATGTATATCAGGTCACCCTTCAGCTGGATTCGTCAACATATTCCGCTGTTCTCAATAATGGTTACTTATTAATCGGTCTAGACCTCTGCAAGGTCTACGATGCCATTGAAATTTCACGATGTTTCAGATGCAATGGTTTCAATCATTCGAAAACTAGCTGTAAACAAATCTTATCATGTCCGAACTGCGGTGGGGGTCATGATAAAAACGCATGTGATTCTAATATCTTGAAATGCATCAACTGTGTTAAACTCAATGAATCCAAAAAGTCTAACTTCCCGATAGATCATGGGGCGTGGGACCATCAAAAATGCCAGGCATACTCAAATGTGCTGAATAAATTGAAATTTGATTTGGGTCTAAACTGTCAATAGCAACTAAATTCAGATACGTTACCTAATAATGAATCCACTTTTCTGAAAAATCAGTCTACAAACTCTACCAATGATAAAGAAATCTCAATTTACTACCAAAATGTTAGAGGACTGAATACCAAATTACATGAACTATACGATAACCTGAATACTTGCTGCTATGACCTAGTAGTACTTACTGAAACTTGGTTGGGGTCTAATGTTTTGGATGAAGAAATCTCTAAGGGCACATTCAACATATTCAGATCCGATCGTAACTTTCGAGCATTGAACCTTTCTAGGGGCGGAGGAGTCATGCTTGCAGTAAACTCTCAGTTTAATGCAACCAATCTCAATTTAAAAGAAGGAGCATTTAAAGAACTGCAACATATTGACATTGTCGGTGTGAAAATATGCTATTCTCACCAGCTCATATATGTTGTTGTTATTTATATTCCACCAAATAATTCCACTGAAATTTATAATAATATATTTGAAGCCTTTGCCTCACTGGAATATCTCTTTCACTCGGAAGCTCTGATTATAGGAGATTTCAATATTCCCACATACCTGGAGGATAATTTAAAAAACACATTCACTCCCACTACACTTGCTCTTCAATACTTCTGCTCTTTCTTGGACTTCGAGCAATCAAACAATGTAAGAAATGCGAATAACAGGATTTTAGATCTTGTTCTTTCAAATTGTCCTTGTGTTGTTGAAAAAGCACAAGATATTTTAATTAATGAAGACCCACATCATCCCCCTATCAATATCTTCTGTACTTTGAGAAATAATCTGAAGAAAAATCCAAATAAATCATTCCAGGCGTCATTCCACAATTTCAGGAAAGCTAACTTTCCAAATCTTTATAATGACTTCCTCGAGTATGACTGGTCTTTTTTGGAACAATATACAGAAGCAAATGTCGCTTGCAGTGCTTTTTATGATAGTGTGAACTCTATTGTGGAAAGGAATGTCCCAAAAAGGATCAAAACTACTCGTAGTTATCCACCTTGGTACAACTCAACTGTAATAAGAGATATACGTCGAAAACATGAATTTTGGAAAAAATTCAGGAAATCTGGTGATGAAAGGGATCTTGTTGAATTCAGAAGACTGAGGAGAGATATCAAGCTCAACATTGCAAAACTCCATCGTGATCATATTCGTTATATAGAAGAAAGCATCACTACTAAGCCCTCTGCATTATGGAATTACATGAATTTCAAAAAAATTAATGTAACCCCACCGTCTACCTTCAACTTCAACCAACAAATCCTATCTGAGTCTCAAGACATATCTAATGCCTTCGCTCAATTTTTTCAGCATTCTTATGCAACTCCCAAAAATACCACTTTTGCTGATTCATTCAATAATATTCCTTCTTTGACGATACCTGAAGTGACTGAAGAGCAAGTATTAGTCTCATTGAAAAAACTTAAACCCAAATTAACTAGCGGACCTGACAACATCCCATCTTTCGTCTTGCGTGATTGCGCAGCTGCCTTCGTGAACCCGCTTCGTACGTTATTCAATTTATGTCTCTCAACTAATACTTTTCCTACACTATGGAAAGAATCGAAAATCATACCGGTCCATAAGAAGGGGCCTAAATCAGACATTTGCAACTACCGCCCTATAGTAATTATTAATAATTTTTCAAAATCTTTTGAAATTCTTCTCTACGATGAAATCTATTCGCACGTTAGAAATCAAATTACCCCTAGTCAACATGGTTTCTTCAAAGGAAGGTCAACGGTCACAAATTTAGTTTGCATCACAGAGAAGTTATCTGATACCATTGATGATAGCTCTCAATGTGATGTAATTTATACGGATTTTTCGAAGGCATTCGATAGGCTGGACCATGGAACTCTACTTCACAAACTTTCGAACTATGGACTAACTCCAAATCTCACATCATTTTTCCAATCTTACCTTCTTGATAGAAAGCAGTATGTAAGCTTCCATGGTCATAGGTCTATTGAAGTCCTTCCTACGTCAGGTGTGCCCCAGGGGTCTAACCTCGGGCCCTTACTATTCATAATGTTCATCAATGACATTGTAGATACTCTCACCATCAATCACCTATTGTATGCTGATGATCTTAAGATATATCATGAAATTGTCACCGAAGAGGATTGTACTGTTCTACAAGACAATCTTAACAGACTCAATGCCTGGTGCATCGAGAATAACTTATTCCTTAATGTCTCCAAATGTCATGTTATGTCCTTTACCGCCAAGGTGAATCCAATTATTTTCAATTATAAACTAGACAATGTCGCCTTGAACCGACCTGAAACTTTCCAAGATCTAGGAGTAATATTTGACAAAAAACTATCGTTTGGAAATCATATCGAGCAAGTCATCAAAAAAACGTATAGATCTTTGGGATTCATTATTAGAGTATCAAAACATTTTGGAAGAAATGAGAAAATGCTTCTGCAATTATACTTCACATTTGTTAGATCGAATTCAGAGTATGCATCAATAGTTTGGGCACCTCATTATCAGGTACATATATCTAATTTGGAAAATATCCAACGGAAATTTTTGAAGTACTTATGTTTTAAACTTGATGGCAACTACCCAGATGTAGGTCATCCACATGATCAACTTCTTTCAAGATTTTCAGTTGCTTCACTTCAAGATCGTCGAAATAGGTCGCATGTTATATTCCTTTTCAATGTTATCCGGAACAATTTGGACTGCAGCTGCATTTTGGAGATGATACACTTTCATGTTCCCAGACTCACAACCCGGAGAAATAATAGTTTCTACCTTCCACTTTGTCGCACTAATGTTAAATTCCATGCACCTGTTTACAAGATGTGTTCGATATATAATACGATGAATGAAACCATTGACATCTTTTGCTGCAGTTTGGCATCCTTAAAAAAACTGGACTGTTCTGTTTTTTCCAATGTGTAATTTTATGTATTAAGAAAATAATTTTAGTAATACACTTAGTATATTCCTATTCTGTAATTGGATCTTGTATCTGTTGAATAGTGTAATAAAAAAAAAAAAAAAAAAAAAAAAAAAAAAATATGATAAATGGTGGTGCTGATCAGACGGTTATATTTCCTCAATCAAGTGTCACCTGACCTGTTTGAGGAAGATACATTTTGGGAGCTAAACGATTATTCTTCAATTTCAATCTCTCAACTATACTTAATCGTGTCCTGTATCAAATTGAATTTAAAAGGTGATCATCTGATAACAATAAGGGTATAATGAAATAGGGACCTATTTCTCGTTGAAAACGTAAATTTTTCACGTTTATCAAATAACAATTCGTGGCTCTCCTTCAAATCCATTATGCAAGCTTCTACTTCGCTGATGTTTCACTAACTAACGATATACTTTTTTATATTGCAGATATTCTCGCCCGATGTTGACAGCAGCAGGAGTTTTCACTATCATTATAATGATAATTGGTGTTCTAGGCAACTCTCTAACAATTGGTGCATTGTTGCGACATTCTAAACTTCGCACTGTAGCCGCAGCATTCATTGCTAGGTGAGTTAAATGAGAATTGTTTTCTGGATTGCACTTATATTCCATGGAAGCAAATCACGAATGCCAATCTTATTCCACATGTGATGAAATATACATACGGAAAATCAGTAACAGCAGTTAGAAGTTGTTGAAACACGATCTAGGGAGGAAAAGAAAATGGTAGTGAATTGAAAATTCAAGTTTCGATATTCCTGACCTACGGACTAGTATATTTTTCCGTTTCATTTCCACTGGAAATTACTGAGAGAGATATCACCAAATCCAAATAGGTTTCCTACTGCAGGCTAAATATCTACTGGAAGAACTGTTCATGAAATAGTTATTTTACCAACTAGTGTCGAGATCATTAATCGCCTTTTAATATACAAGTTGGTTACAAAATTTTTCCGTCGACTATATTTCGCATTTCTCCTGCAATGAAGAAAACTTGGTTCGCGAATTCATCATTCATCTGGAAATTGCTAAGAATCACCCAGTAGCCTTGCTACTGACATTAGTGACATTTGACATTTGTCGAAATGATCAACATAGAAAATACATTCCTTCTGTTAGAAAATAGGGATTAAAATCGTGTCAGAAACTTGAAAAGGCGAATCCGTTAACGGAAAATCTTCAATGAAATCCATATTTTTCATTCGAATGCAGATTTCCTGAGATATAGCATAAACAATGAATGCACGCGGTGTATGTTTGGTTGCCTATAAAACAATCGTGTATTAATAGACAAATCGTTCATTAATAGGGGTCATTAATGAACGATTTCATATACATTAAACTTAGTCGTTAATACGAGGTCGACGGAAAAGGTCATATAATGTATCACCAATTACCTGTCAATTTTGACATTCCATACGAGATATACTGAAAATTGAACGAAGATAATTCAGAGGAGCCTGAATATGTATTTTGGCAACTAAATTGGTGAACATTGATAACGCCGTGGTGCAAATTATAGCCTGAAGTGAAATACCTTACCGAATTGGAATCGGTTTCCACCGAAGATTATAGCCTAATCTCCAGACAGTTCGTCGTGGCAATATGAAACTTCAGTGATTTTAGATAGAATTACAGAGTGATGATTGAAAGAATATGAAATTCCAATGTATGGTTAAATACAGTCTGTGAGTTAATCGAGGAGGTGGTACATTCATTATTTCAGATTTTTTGGGATTTTCTGTCTTCGTTGAAATAAAAATATGAATATCATTTCAATATACGTGTAGTAACGACAAATCAGATGATTTGCCCCAAAATGTCACTGTGTTCAAATAATTCTCCTATCAGAGAACCTAAAAGAAAAATCCATTAGCTTTCCAGTGACAATTTGTATTGAAATAGGTTTGGAGAGAAGAAATAAAAGTATAAATGAATAATATCAATTTTCCAGTTACCTTTGGACGTTTCGGAAACGAATCTGCCTTCGTTTTCAACATAAAAAAATGGATATTGAACGGAGACAATAGCATTGCTTCCTGTTCAGTTGATATAGATTGAACATGGTATTCACTACTGAAATCTGGAAATGAAAATGGTGAATTCAAGATAAATCAATGAAAACATCCTGTAACTCATTTGATCGCCAACGTCACCAATTGTCACTGAGAACTGAAAAGTATCAAGGAAAATACGAATTTTCTATCCAAATATCCATTTTTTCATGTTGAAAACGGAAGCAGATTCGTTCACGAAACGTCCAAAGCTAAGTAGAAAATTGATATTTTTTTATATACTTTTATTTCTCTTCTCCAAACCTTTTTCAATTCGAATGGTCACTGACCAGCTAGTGAATTTTTCTTTTAGGCTCTCTGATAGGAAAAGTCTTTAAACACAGTGATATTATGGGGCAAATCATCTGATTTGTAGTTACTACACGTATATTGAAATAATATCCATATTTTTATTTTATAGAAACGAGGAGAGAAAATCATTTCATCGTTTGAGCTGATATCTATCTTTTTTTTCAATGACCTGTATCCTCTGATGTTGATGTTTGCTCCGAAATCTTTTCGGATTTTTTTAATTCAGAGCTTTGATAATCGTGTTATAAGTAATAAGTAAATATTCAAAGGGAATATTCTCAAATGAATTATGAACATAAAAAAATGGATATATATATATACAATACATTGAGGATTCGCATTCTCTACATGATAAAAATATCAATTCTTTCTCGGTTTATTCAACAGTAAACAACTAATTTCCTGGCTAAATGCCACGACAAACATTGGATTATAGCTATTGAACACACACTATGAGAATTTGAAAACGATATCTTCAGAAGTTGAGAATTTGCATTCTCCTTCGTATAATAATATATATATGCACATAACAGCATTCTGGATATTCAACAGAAAACAAATACTTTTCTGGGTATTTGTCAGATCTAACATTTAATTATATCTGTTGAACATTCAAAAGGGAGCATACAAAATAAAAATCATTCGAAATTGAGAATGAACTATCTCTCAAATCTGATACACGATATGATGTATTATGATATAAAAATGTAACTCATTGGTAAATGGCATGTACCCAGGAAAGTAGTAGTTTTCTGTTGAATAAACAGAGAAAGAATTGATATATTCATCACATCAAGAATGCGAATTCCTCATGTGTTCTTTTATATATATATATATATATCAATATCCATTTTTTCATGTTCATAATTTATCTGAGAATATTCATTTTCAATACTTTCACCTAATCAAAGGGTTCAAACTTGAACGATGTAAACTTATTATTTTCATAGACCTTCAATCGCAGATTCGTCATCATCAGGTTTTCTCAATTCAGAATTTCTTTCCACGTCCTGTATGATGAATATGAATTTGTCATACATCCAATAATAAGTATTCATCCGAAGTGATGCAATTCTCTCAACGATTAATTGAATGGAATTGGATTTTGAGATTTTTTTTCGAAGAATTAACCTCGTATATGTATAGTTTCCGGATATGTGATAACACAGAAACTAGTAAAATAACTAAGTGTTGCATCGTCTAGACTCTAGATGAAGGCTTTTCTCGAATCGAAGAGCATATAATGAAGGTGTAAGCATTTTAATGATGAATTGGAAAATTAATTGTATTCAGATTGAAGTGCCAGAAATATAGGATTTATTTATAATTTCGATGATGGATATACAAGGAGCGATGAAAAATAAGTTCAGATTGTTCCGGAATAAACAAGTAAATTTTCAAAGATGATGCAAATTACTAAGTTCCAAAGGAGAAATACAATATTGTTCATTGTCGAAAATTGTGGAATTTATATATACAGGAACTCCTCATGTGACTCATATGGAAAATAATTCAAAATTTCCATAGATTGAACGAAATGTTTTTCATGACAATGAAATACATTCAGATGCAAATTCCTTCCATCCGCAATTGAATTCGAGAAGTCAACGAGAACTGAGTTGTATAAGTACTCGTGAAATCTTGTTACCATTGCATCCTACTGATCTAGCAATATTGTTTTCAGAAGGACAATTTCCTGTCATTCAGTATGAATTTTGAATGTGATATCAATAAAAGATTTCACGGATTTTGTTGAATTCCTGACGTCAAAAAATACATAATTCCATATTGGATTGTTTTTTATGCCAATGGGTAAGAACAATTATTGTGGGGATCAAGAACACAACTCATATTATGAATTTCTTATGAATCACCCTGTGAAAAAGATATTCAAGAGATGAAAATTCGGGAGTTATTCTATCTCATTTCAACTTCATACTGAAAGACTGAGGAAATTTTCTTTTTGAAAACCATATTTTGGGTGCTAGATCAGTAAAATGCGATAGTAACAAGTATTCACAAATATACAACTCAGTTCTCATTGACTTTCTTTATTCGATTGTAAATTAATTAAATTTTCTCCTGAATATATAGTTCATGTAGTTTCTCAACTGTGAAATTTACCGCTGATTTGATGATTTTAGGCGTATCGTGATTGTGTTCTCTTTATAAAACTCTCACAAAAGTAAGTAACAAGAAGGGATATTATTGTAAATTGTTCCTGATGTTATTGATGATGTCTGTAGACAAAATTTCGTGTATACACCGTGTCCCAGCTATAATGTCCCCCCCTGTGAAAAATCAACCGCGCGATCGAATGACTTGAAATTTGGTCACCCAGTATATTTGATGATGCTCACTCGAAATATGCTATTGGATAAATCGTAGGTATACAGGGTCACACCGAAGTGCACCTCAAATTTCTTATTTGAATAGGAACACCCAGTATTCCATATTCAAGTAGAGTTTATTATTACAAATTTAACAATGCCGGGTTTGATGGAATTTTTTCAAACGACTACGAAGATAGAGCAAAAAATTAAACGATTCAATAAAAAATTTATAAAATCAGATTTTATCAATATAACACGATTATGATCGAATGAAGAGTGTCCTGCACATAACTACAGACTCGTAAAGGATTATCTTCGCCATCGGTTTGGAGAAAATCTAATAACCACCAATTGTCTCGATGGTGATAGCAAATGGCCAGCTCGGTCGCCAGACCTCAGCCCACTTGATATTCATTTTGTTGGGGCTAGTTGAAACAGCAGGTTTATGAGTCGCCAATTGTGAATATGGAAGAAATAAAAGAGAAAATCACAAATTTATGCGCACAAATTGATCGAAACGTGATACATAGGATCACAATGAACGTTATCAAAAGAGCTAGGAAATGTTTGCAGCAAAACGGATGACACATTGAGCAGTTGAGGTTTCAATTATTTTTTCTTCATTCGATTTCAATCGTGTTATATTAATAAAATCTAATCATATAATTTTTTTATTGAATCGTTCAATTTTTTGCCATATCTTCGTAGTCGTTTGAAAAAATACCATCAAACCCGGCATTGTTGAATTCGTTGAAATGAACTCTACTTGAATATGGAATAATATATACTAGATGTTCCTATTCAAACAGAAAAGTTAAGGTGCACTTCGGTGTGACCCTGTATACCCACGATTTATTCAATAGCATAT